CGCCAGAAAAGAAGTTAAAGTATAATTATAAGGAACCCGCTGTCGGATTCACTGAAAATTTTTGCACATAGCGCCCAATTTTTACCTAATTTGGTGCTGCGCGGCAAAAGTACCTAATTTTCTAATGAGTGTTTTCAAGACTGAAAGTTATGTTATTCATAGCAGTTCTATATTCGATTTACAAATACATTATTATTTGTTGTGGATGAGCAAAAACTACAAGAATGTGTACGGTTTCCCAGGTCTGATTAATAGGTGATAGTCACGTAGTAATTACGGAAAATTTTTAGATGAATTAGAATATGTCGTATGTATAGTATCTAGTAGTAAAAACAGCTTTTTTGCTCCGATGCTTCTAACATTACAAAACAAGAAAAAAATGATAAATTTTGTAACTTATCCTGCAAGTAACAGATAAAGTTGAAACGTCCAAAATAGACAGACATCGAACCGATTTACTTTGAAAAACATTTGCAGTGCACAAGTCCTTTTTATTCTTGACTTATAAGGAAAACAGTCTATATTGTAATAACCTTTGAAATAACAAAAAAATTCATTTTTCTCTGTAATCAAGCCGCATGAAGAAAAAGTTCCTTTGGTAGAATCGTGAGCATTACCTACCAGCAAAATATCCGTCAAAACGATGTCGGACAAGTAGTGAACCCTTTTCGTTGATGAGGTAGTATTGAAGTGGCAACTCTGTTTCTGAAGTAACATTCTATGAGTTCCACGTAGATTTTTTTGTGTTTAACAACACATTTATCCGGAATTGTATTTGTAGCTCCAAAATGTGTGCACAAATTAGCATTGTTGAATAGAGAGGACAGAACGAAACAATAGGTTCACCATTTAGACACATTCCAAGTATCTTTTTCAATATCAAATTTATGTTCAGCGTAACCATAACTCATATTTCCTAATCTTGAAATAGTTGTAATAGATTTTGTATTTAACATTCCGTTTTCATACAACGATTCATCAATATGCATATAAACTACTTTTCCTACAATAATTGTTGCGCTTCCGTATTTTCCATCTCCAACTTCCATTGAATTATAAAGTTCACATTCAATATGAATTGGTGATTCTTTTACTCTTGGTGCTTTTACTTTAATACTAGGTAACGCATTTAAACCAACAACATCAAATTCATCTTCACTTGATGACATTTCAGCCGACGCATCATAAACTTTCGGAAATATATCTTTTGTTACATGATTAATAACAAAATCTTTTTCATTTTCAATATTAATAAGTGTATCTTTCTTACTATCATCATGTTTTCTAGTAATAGCAAACATAACGGTAGGCGGTTCACTAGTGACGCAATTGAAAAATGATAATGGTGCAAGATTTTTGATACCTAAAATGAAAATTAAATGAAAGAAAAATAGAAATTCAAGCTGAATATTAACTGACATACACTACCTGTTTTACTGTCGATAGTACTGATAAAAGCAATCGGTCGAGGAATCACGGCACTGCAAAGAAGTTGATATCTCGTGGTTTTGTCTATCTCAGAAAAGTCAACACTAATCATTATCTAAAACAAAAAAATTAACGAAATTAAGAAGACCATCAAGGAGGGAACAAGAGTCAGTCACTCATGCTATTTCAACTACACTTTACTTCAGGCTGTGTGGATGCTGTACCTTAAAATTTGAAATACCCACAATACTCAGAATGAATAACAGAAAAACAGATTTCTAAAAGTTCATAACTGGTGATACAACTACGAGAGAAGTGAACATTAGGCCAACGCCGAATAGAAATTTCTTCGCCTAACGACGTAAAAGCGGAATACAATTCAGACTATAGCAGCATATGCTTATTCTTGCATATGGTAGTCGAAAAACGTTTCTGTTGTACAGAGCGTTCCAAAAGTCTGGAAATTATTGTTGAGCCACTTTTGTCAATATGACCTTATAGAAGTAAAGTCTTTGAGCGGCACAGCTTTCTTCACTTTCATGTTTTCATCATCTTGCGGTGTCAACGTTAAACGTCTCTCTTTTAAGACATCGTTACAAACAAGCTCATATTTTAACCTTGAATTCATAATTTTGTCGGAGGAGGGAAAACGCCGTTTATGAGTTTGATGCTGAGAAATAGAAGATTCTCTCAAACTGCACTAAGGCCTGGTCCAATTAGTGAGGTCAACTATTTGTCAGTCTCTCTCTAACCATCTCTCTATCAGACTTTAGAAATCTAAATTATCCTTTAAACTCCTGGCTTCTCTTAATCTACCTGAGTAGCAAACGTTACCACTGAGCTATGATTTTCCAAGGGAGGAGGCTTAACATTCTTTGTATTGTCTTTCCATTCGGATATGGATATACCAAATTTTTGCATTTTTTTAGATATTCCTCTCCCTATTCACTGGCGTTGACTATCACATCGAGTGCAGAATTATTGATCATTTTCTGCACTAAAATTGGCTTTTGCTATGAATAGACGAACCTTCATTTATAACCGATTTACGACTGTGATTCTTGAAAAAGAAAAAACTTACATTGGATCGTGGAATTATTACTAAAAATGATGATGTAAATGTACGATTACAGCAATTTTAAGAATAATTGCATTTATTCCATCACTGTAATATACGATTAGACATCTTTGTTACAAAACATAGACTGTAATTTTTAACGGAGTGTATACCTGTTTAGTATCACATGGACGATAAGATTTTTTCTTCTTTTAACAGTGAAAGACACAAATGTATACTCACTCATTGATGTATAGCAACCGTCCGCAATTCGAGCACGAAATATTTGATGTAGACTATTTTGAAATTTATGCAGTCATTTCTCATCATGGAAGTTTTATTTTTAGATACCGCAGTAGATGAGGCTTTTCCTGGTCAGTTTATATAAAAACATCTG